GAACTTAGCTGCAAGCAACTTTGTCTCCAATGCTTTTAATTAAAAAAAATCTGTACAGATCTTGGGACTTGGACTCAGATTCTAGTAGGCATATATGAGTTGGCCCTTTTTGGCTGCATGGAATTCCAACAGTGTAGTCAGTCACTGACAGTGAGCCTCCATTGAGTTGATACTTAATCATCCAGCTATGACTCTATGGGAAGTATAAATAAGATGATAGCTTCAATAAGAGAGAGGCTGAATAAATATACTGACATTTTTTCCAAAAATTGTTTTAAAAATTCTTTTAATATATGCTGATCTACTAGTTTCCCAATCCTGCATTTGTTTAACTTTATGCACTGGAAGCACTGAAGAAGGTCACTGTTATTAAATGCTCAGGAATGAAGGTTGCTCATAACTCTGAACAAATTAATATGGTGGTGGTTTCATAAGTTTACAAGTGAACATTGATTTAATATAGCTTTGCAACTTTATTAAGTAGGAGAAAAATGCTGTGTTCCCTGTTCTTGAGTTTGTTTAGCACAAAACTGTACTATATTTGCAGGTTTTGTTTTTGTTTTTCTATCTCTGCTGCTGCTACCTGATTACTTCTGTTTTCAAATGAAATGTGTGTTTGACCAGTCAGTTCGTAACTCTGAGGTTCTGTTGTAGTCCTAATTAAGTCAATGGGCCTGCTTGCAGTCCTAGAGTTAAGCATATTCATAACTCTTTACAGGATCAGGAACTAAATTTCTACTTGGCTTAAGAGGTATTGCAGCTAATCATTGGATTTTTTTTTTCTGAGGACCCTACATAATTGAAAAATAAGCAAAAACTCACAAGCTAATGTTAAGAACTGCACCATCTATAAAAGAAAATAAAAAACACAAACACATATAGATTTGCAGTAGTTCACCAAAACTAGGAACAACAGTGTTGAAATGGGGCCACTGGCACACTCTCAGACTTCAGATCATTCAGTTAGTAGTCATTTCTTATGCATATATTTGGAGCTGAAGGAAAGTTGGGACCAACATATTATAGCCCCCACGTCAACCAGCAGGGAACACTCTAAGGGTACGTCTAAACTACATGCCTCTGTCGGAAGAGGCATGTAGATTTGTTTGTTCAGGAAAGGCAAATGAAGCCGCGATTTAAATGATCGCGGCTTCATTTACATTAACATGGCTGCCGCGCTGAGCCGACAAACAGCTGATCAGCTGTTGTTTGTCGCGCGCTAGTCTGGACGTTCCCCCTGTCGACATCAAAGCCCTTTGTCGGCAGCCCCGTTATTCCTCATGGAATGAGGTTTACCGGAGCTGCCGACAAAGGGCTTTGATGTCGACAGGAGGAACGTCCAGACTAGCGCGCGAGCCGACAAACAGCTGATCAGCTGTTTGTTGGCTCAGCGTGGCAGCCATGTAAATGTAAATGAAGCCGCGATCATTTAAATCGCGGCTTCATTTGCCTTTGCTGATCTGTCTAATCTACATGCCTCTGCCGACAGAGGCATGTAGTCTAGACACAGCCTAATAGTAGACAAACATTTAAATTACTATTAACTTGTATTTGAAACACAAGAATCCAACGTAAAATGACTATATTATTAAAGTTAGGTTATCAAACTTATCATTGCTTTCAATATTTAGGATGTGGAACTAATTGTGATAGTCAAACACATCAGCTCAACTTACATTTTTTTTCCCCAAAGTAAATGTAAATAGTTACAGAAATGTTATGCAATATTTTGTATACCTAGTGCGAACTAGTATACTTGTATCCAAATAATTTTCTTTTAAAAGAGCAAATATATGTATAAATGGCAGCAGGACAAGTGGCAGAAGTTCTTTTTTGCGAAGCTGTAGCAGCATTAACAAATTAGTGTGAAGTACATATTGGCTAGCAATCCTATCTCCTGTTCTTTCATCTCCTCCTTTTAGCTTAATTCATATACAGGCAGTCCCCGGGTTACGTACAAGATAGGGACTGTAGGTTTGTTCTTAAGTTGAATTTGTATGTAAGGCGGAACTGGTACATACTGTAGGGGAAACTCTAGCCAAACATTTCTCCAGAGCTCAGTTTTATTCTCCCACACCTCACTTCTCTCAGTCCTTTATTCTCAAGCTGAGGTGTCTGCTGAGAAAAGCCGCTCCACGACTCCCTGGTCTGCTGGGGGGGGGGGCGCTAGCTTCGCGTCTCCCTGGTCTGCTGGGGGGAAGCAGCTAGTGCGGGGTTGCCTCACCCCGTTTGTAAGTAGGGATCCGATGTAAGTCGGATCCATGTAACCCGGGGACTGCCTGTATACACAAAATATATTAATGGATTATTAGTAGTGATATTGGATTAGTGCTATTTATACCTATATGCAATATTCTTTCACCATTTTATTTTTAAAAACTTTTAGAAAGATGTCTAAATTCCATACCAGTGAATGGAAAGTTATACCTAAGTTCTCTAAGCTCTCAGACCAACCTAAATTTTGCTTCTATAAAATAGAACAGATATAATGGCTTAATTGTGAAGAGTTTGGAGGGTGTTAAACATGGGGGATTTTTTTTTATTCATAATACTTAGCAAAAGATTAGAGATGTAGCCGTGTTAGTCTGATCTTGCTGAAATAAAAGAAAGGACTATGTCCTTTCTTTTGGTGTAGCAAAAGATTGTAATTCCTACTCATGTTTGTGAAATGGCTTGTGACCCAGTTAAAATACATGAATAGTACCTTTTTATCAGGTGATAATGGTTACCTGTACCATATTGCACCCCTGTACAGTTTTATGTTCTTGTTCTCATATCAAAGATATATAAATAGGGCTAAGATAAGCTTTCTTGGAGCTCTTTACTATGAAGAGAAGAAAGAAAGAAAAGAGGCACTTAGCAAGATCTTCCTACTAATGTCAGGGGATATTTGTAGACTAGATAGGGTGAACCCATTCTCTCAGCAAAGATGGAACAATGTTTCTATTTGGTAACCCTTTTAAAATTCTATCCCTACATCTACACTGCACATGCACTCTTGCGCAAGTAAACTTACAGTAAAGCGTCAGAACAGAGGGCTTGGAAGGCAGCGTGGATGGGTGTGACCGTGTCCCCCGTCCTCTATCTGTCCCGGGGCACGGTCACCCGTCCTTGTAGTACATTAAGCTCGCTCCGAGAGTCAATTCTGGCTAAGTCTGTCTCTTCCTCGGAAGGGGGAAGGAAGAGGGGCCCGGGCCCGCCCTCACTCACGGGCCCCAACCCAGGGCCCTAGGGACAGAAACTATCCTTGAGTCTCTGTCCAACTGGCAGGGGTGAGCTCCTAAACACACCAGCCCACGGGCTACTTCGCCACCCTGTCCTGGGCTACTTCCTTCTTCCCCCTATCCCCGTCCTCGGGGTGTTGATACTCACACCTTCGTGTCTCGTTCGGCGGAGACTGCCGTGAGCGCGTCCGGGTCTCTCTCGTCTCCCCTTTCTCTGGTGATCGGCAAGCTTTAAAAGCCCCGCCGACCTCGGAGGAGTTCACGCGCCCCGCCCCCTTCCCGTCCGACGCGGCGTGTTCCCCTCTCCTCTCTCGCTGGAGGGGCTGAGTTTAACTCAGCTGTGTGGAGACGTCCCTCCAGCTGAGCCGCGTTGGCGATCAGCTGAGTTGCGGCGCCGCTCAGCTGAGTTGCGGCGCCGCTCAGCTGAGTTGCGGCGCCGCTCAGCTGAGTTGCGGCGCCGCTCAGCTGAGTTGCGGCGCCGCTCAGCTGAGTTGCGGCGCCGCTCAGCTGAGTTGCGGCGCCGCTCAGCTGAGTTGCGGCGCCGCTCAGCTGAGTTGCGGCGCCGCTCAGCTGAGTTGCGGCGCCGCTCAGCTGAGTTGCGGCGCCGCTCAGCTGAGTTGCGGCGCCGCTCAGCTGAGTTGCGGCGCCGCTCAGCTGAGCCATGGCGCAAGAGCAACCGGCGCACTGGCGGTAAGGGCTCTGTTGCCCCTCTGCAAGGGCGCAAAGTCCCGGGGTTTAGGTGCGGGGTCTCGGCGCCTCGTCACAATGGCCATCAGAGCTTTCTTGTGCAAGAGAGTGTCCACACTGCCATGGACGCTCTTGTGCAAAAGCACGTCTCTTGTGCAAAAGCACATGGTAGTGTGGACGCGCTCTTGCGCAAGATCTTTTGCGCAAGAACTCTTCTGCAAAACAGTTCTTGTGCAAAAAGCCTGCAGTGTAGATGTAGCGTATGGCTGCGTCTAGACTGGCATGATTTTGTGGAAATACTTTTAACGGAAAAGTTTTTCCGTTAAAAGTATTTCCGCAAAAGAGTGTCTAGATTGGCAAGGATGCTTTTGTGCAAAAAGTGCTTTTGTGCAAAAGTATCCGTAGCCAGTCTAGACGGGATTTTGCGCAAGAAAGCCCCAATCGCCATTTTAGCTATCGGTGCTTTTTTGCGCAAAACATTTCTTCCCTGTCTACACTGGCCCTCTTGAGCAAGTATTCTTGCACAAGAGGGCTTTTTCCTGAGCGGGAGCATGAAAGTATTTGCGCAAGAAGCACTGATTTTGTACATTACAAAGTCAGTGCTCTTGTGCAAATTCAAGCGGCCAGTGTAGACAGCTGGCAAGTTTTTGTGCAAAAGCAGGTGCTTTTGCGCAAAATCTTACCAGTCTAGATGCACCCTATGTGTTTTATGTAGCATTGCAGACGTGCTAATGAAGCCACAATTCAGATAATGTATGGGAACAAATTTAGGAAGTAAAAATTTCCACTCACTAAATAAAACTAAGCACAGTTTCTTGGTACTTGAAAGATACCACATTTGTAAAGAACAAATGATATTATCTGAGAGACTATACTAATAATTACACATTCAACTCTGATGCCAATCTTGAATGGGGGTTCAGTAAGTTGGCTTCTCTCCAACTGACTCAACATGTTCAAAACAATTCCACATCACAAAATCTGTAACAAATGGCTTTACTGACCAAGTAGCTTCAACATCATGTGCAAATGGAATGCACTTTGTGGTAATGTACCCTATGGATGTGTCTGTTATTTTTGGTAGGATAGATGAAGAAGGCTTGTAAGCAAAGTGGGAGAGTTGGGGACGGAGGGAAAGAAGGGTAAGAGAGAACATTAGAAATTCAAATCTTTAAATATTTCAAGTCCTAATAATTTTGTCATGTGACACCATTTAATCCAACTGATTAAAATAATTTTTTTAAAAGAATTTGCTCATTAGATGCTTTTTAATAAAGAACCTCATTTTTTAGATCTTACTAAAGCGGCTCTCCATTCTCAGACAGGCTTTCTTTCAGGGTGAACATTAAAAGAGTTTAATATGGGGCTTGTTAAATTAGGATAAATTTTAAAAAACAACAAATAGTCTGGTAGCACTTTAAAGACTAACAAAACATGTAGATGGTACCATCTACATGAAAGCTCATGATACTATGTGCCTACAGAAGCTCATGATACCATCTACATCACTGGTCCCCAACATGGTGCCCGCAGGTGCCATGGCACGTGCGGGGGCATTTGTGTGCGCCCGCCAAGCACTCAGGGCTGGCCCTGCCCTGGCCGTGCTGCGCATATGCGGCACCAGATCCGGGCGCATGGGGGGTACCGGCCCCGAGCACGCAGTGAATTGGCCTCCCCGCTCCTGGGTGCGCAGCTATGGGGGGACGCCGGCCCCAGGATTGCGGCCAATGGGCAGCCCCGCCCGTGGCCACGCGGAGCATGGGGTTGCTGGCCCCAAGCATGTGGCTCATTGGGGTGTGGCGCATGCGTGGCCCCGCCCCCGGGCATGTGAATGTCCCCACTCCCCTGGTGGCTGAACGGCCCTGGCAGCTCCAAATGGCTGGGGACCACTGATCTACGTTTTGTTAGTCTTTAAAATGCTACCAGACCATTTGTTGTTGTTTTTAAGTTTATCCTGTACGGATCAACTGGGCTACCCCCTGAAGCTTGTTAAATTAGGTCAGACTCTTTCACTGGATCTGTGCCTGCAGGTTTGCTGCTGTTCAAGGCCACCTGTTGCACTTGTTTGTCTTTTCCCTTCGTGTTCGCACAACGTACATAAAAGCAAAACCCTCCTGGCAATTGTACCGACATGAATTTCTGCACGAGGCGCCTGCTGCAGTCACTTTGTTTTGCCAGGCATGTAATGGACTAACCTATCCCTGGCTCTTAACTCGCAAGAGCCCCTGGGTGGGGTGAGATCTGCGGGTGCTTCCCCCTAGACGGGGGGAGCTACGTTACGTCTCCCTCAGCTGAGGTCGTGGGAGGAGATCCAGCCCCTTACGCCTTAGGAAAGCCCCTGCCCCGGGGCTTAGCGCGCACGGATGCAGCGCGAACAGAAGGGGCTGAGTGACCCAACAAGGGAGGCAGCGGGGCCCTCTCGTCGCTCCACGCGGACGCGGCTGAGGGGGCGCCAACCGGCTGCGCCCCCCTCGCTCGGAGCC